CATCCGGACCCGCTGACTTGAACGCGTCCAGCCCCTCCAGAAGCTCTCTAACCCGGTCCTCCCCAACCAATTCCCTCATAACAAAATCCATTTGAGAAATGGTGTTCTCCACATAGCTGCAATGATCAGTGATAGCAGATAGCCATGTTATTTAATCAAATTAAATTTCTATTGTGCCATCACAAATTTTCAGTTCAGGCAAAAATACTCAGATACAGAAGAAGCAAGCATTTCCCCTGTTGTTTAATGCTTTAACAATGTAAATATCCATGGTTAAAAATGTTAGGATACAATAAATGGAATCAAAAGGGGTTGTGTGGTGCTTATGTTTATCTGAAGTGCAGTGATGGTATTTTGGTCAACTACAAAGAATCCATATTATGAATATGTAAACCAGGGGTGGGCAATTATTTCAGAAGGAAGGCTGCTTACCCAGTTTTGGCAGGTTGTCAAGGGCCGCATGGGTAGTCCTGCCCCTTGACAGGTGCCCCGCCCCCTAGTCACCATCTTGGGACCAATGTCCCAATGTCTTGGGACCAATGTCCCAGGGCCAGGACCGGTGGGCCTGAAGTGGGGCACAGGCTGGCAGGGGTCTGTGGAGCTGGACTGGGCTGCACCAGCAGGGAGAGCGGGGAGCTGGCCTGGCTCCATAGAGCTCCTGTCAGCTGGGACCCCACGCTCCTGCCGCTCGGCTCTGGGCCCCGCTGGCACTGACCTCGGGGTACCCATGCGGGCCCCGTGCTCCCTCTGGCTCCCCACCCACTCACACCCAGTGCCCCCCAGCCCTACAGTACAGGTGGGGGGCAGCGCACAGCCCCGACCCCGTGCTCGGTGGCAGGGAAGAAGCTGGTGCTGAGCGCAGGGAAAAGTGGCCCCTTGCCTGCCCCATGGCTGGTGCTCCCTGCTGCAGCCACTCACAGCTGGGTTACAAGGTGGTGCTGAGTGCGGGGGTTGGGGGAAGCAGCCCCTCGCCTGCCCTGTGCCCCATGCCCTGCGCTGCAGCTGCTCGCAGCTCGCCTGGGGCTTCTCCATGCAGGAAAGGAGCCCTGGGAAAAGCTGAGCATGGGGGGGAAAAGCGACCCCTCCCCTGCCTCATGGCAGATGCCCTGCACTGCAGCAGCTCACAGCCTGCACAGGGCAGCTGCAGCACAAGGTGCCCACCATAGGGTGGGGAAGGGGCCACTTCCTTCCCCCACACTCCTTCCCTGCCTGGGGTCCCCCCTGCCTTTCCCCACCCCCAGCTTACCTGCAGTTCCAGTGCAGGGCAGCCACATGCTCCTAGGCCAGAAGCCCTAGCTAGGGCCTCCGGCAGAGGGCCAGGCGGGACCCACTGTTATTGGAGCCCGCCGGACTTTCCTGGGTTCTACTGCCCTTGGTTCCTGTCATTTTTTATAGGAACCAAGGGCAGAGAAATATTAATTTTCTACATTTTTTAAGGGCCCCACAGGCCACATCTGGCCCACAGGCCGTATTTTGCCCACCTCTAATATAGACTGACTCTGCTCCTGTTGAAGTGAAAGTTTTTTCATTGTTGTCGTCTGTGAAACAAGATTGGTCCGTATTTATATAAATTCCTGTGGCTACAGCCATATACGGGTCTATTTTTTTTCCTTCAGAGAAATATATTAATTTTGCATCAAAATAGGTAGGACAACACAAACTTTAATTTATTTTAAATTTACTAAATATAATATAAGAGACTTAGGACATAATTATCACACCAGGAAGATCTTTGGGCTAAAAAGTAGTTTTTTTCCTGATCTATATAAGCATTCAGAATTTTGCAACTTTTGCAAATTGCTTTCTTAATTAAAACACATCATCTCAGTTTGCAGAGTTATCTCTGCAAGTAGATTGTAGATCAAAACCTAAGATCAAAGGTCAGATAATATTTATTTCATACATCTGGGGATTTAGTTAATCATGTCATATTCATTTAAAATACTTAATTCTCCACCTACACAAAGACCAGCTACATAGTGTTATATATGTGAAACATAATCATTTATTAAATGAAGATAATATTATTCCAATTAAATTTGTCACTTCTGTAAAAAAAAACCAAACAAAAAAAGTGCTCATAGCAGTATATTTTGCAAATATGTGATACTAGCGAATTGTCCATCAAGAATGATGAGTGGGGAGGTGGGCAGGGATGAAGCACCATCACCCACCACCCTATGCCATCACCACCTCCCAGGAGCAAGGGGGGAGAAGCTTGCATACAGCAGCTGCCACCCACCACCCCACACTGCCGCTGCTCTGTGTCTGGCCATGCACTACCCACACCGCTCTGCATCCAGCCCTGCACTCCCCTCCATTTCATGTCCAGCCCCGTGCCATGCCCCCTGGGGAGGCGGCAGCAGCACAGGGGGTGGGAGGTGACTCTCTGTCCCCAACCACTCTGCCTGTCATTCTTGACAGGCATTCTTAATGCAGCACTGGCTGGAGCCACACCCTGCCACGAGCCATGCCCCCCAAGAGTTTTATGGATGGACAAACAGACAAACATACAGACAAACAGACTAAGCCCTTTATATACAGAGACTGTATTTTTGTAAAAGTCATACCTCTGAGTAAAGAGATCTATGCATCTTAAACTAATTCTTAGGATTTCATAAATTCATAGATTAAGGGCTGGAAGGGACCTTGCAGATCACTGGGTCCAGCTCCTCACCACTCTAGGGAGGAAGACAACTGGGATCAAGTGACCCCAGCGAGGTGGCTGTCCAGTCTCCTCTTGAAAACCTCCAAGGTAGGTGACTGCACCACCTCTGGAGGGAGTTTATTCCACAGTCTGGAACTAAGCCCGCTGGGGAATGGGGGGACTACTGCCACAGCAACTTTTCTGCAACTTTTGCAAAACCAGCAGGCTAAGGCACTTAAGGGAATCTACCCCTACCCCACCCCTGGAATGATGTCCTCCTGGGAGTGTAGGGAAGACTAGGGCCTCTAATGGGACAGTTACATGCCTGTACACTTACATGCCAGGTGCTTGGGGAACAAACAGGAGGAACTGGTTCTCCTGATAAACAAGAATTACTATGATCTCATAGGGATAATGGAGACCTGATGGGACTCCACATATGACTGGGCCACAGGTATAGATGGCTAGACCATGTACAGGAGATATTGTGCAGATAAAAGGGGCGGGGGCGTAGCTCTCTATGTCAAGGAAAGCTACACATCCCTGCAACCTGACATTGGCACCCAGGGTGGACAACTGGAGACCCTCTGGGTTAAAATCTGTGGTGAACATGGCACAGGAGACACAATGGTAGGAGTCTACTACAAATCCCCTAATCAGGAACAAGAGCTTGACCAGGAATTCACCAAGGAACTGGATGAGGCTGCATGCTCCTGGTGCATGGCTGTCATGGGAGACTTTAACTACCTAGACATCTCATGGGAAGAGCACGCAGGCAAATCTGAACAGTCACCAAGCTTCCTCACATGTGTGGATGAGCTCTATCTGACTCAAGAAGTCTATGGACCAACAAGAAGCGAAGCGCTGCTCGACCTGGTACTGGCAAAGGGGGATGATCTAATCATCAACCTAATGATTGAAGGGAAGCTGGGTGACAGTGACCACGAGCTGATCACTTTCTCTATTCGCTGCAAAGCTGGCAAGTCAGTCAGCAATGTAGAAGTCCTCGACTTCAGGAAAGCTGACTTTGACAAGCTCAGGAGGCTTGTTGGGAAGGC